TTATTTTTACTATTTATTTATAAATACTATGGCTATCTTTCTAAAAATCATGGCCATCTTTTCCCTAAAAATCAGATAAGATGGCCAATGCATACTTTGTAATATTTTGATAAAATTAAAGTTCTGTTAAGTACTTCTCTCTTTTATTTCGATAGTATTTGTTACTTTAAGCTTCAGTGAAAGTATTTCCCAAATATCGTTAAAAAGTATCAAGAATAAATGTATGTTTTTTGCATTTTAAAAAACTATGGCCATCATACCCGAGTTTACCCTAATGTATTGAATATTTCGCGGTTTAATTCATTTCTATATTTTTATTAAACATATACATCTTTATGTCGATTTGTACAACGCCTTTAAAGTGCACTAAATGCATAAATGAAAAACGCTATTAAAAATACTTAATTTTTTTAAAACTGTCTTACTACAGTATTTTGAGTCGCAAATTTTGTGGGACAGCCTACATAACTTTAAAAATTTTATTACTATACATGTGTACATTTACATGTGCTATGTGAAGAATATAGCGTTTTCGGCCCGATCGGGTGCATCAACCTGGGTCGGATTAATCTTTCCTATTGGTTGACGTCACCCGCTCTACCAATAGGAGAGCACAAAACGCTATTAATCCAACCCAGGTTGGTGCAAACCTGGCCGGGCCGAAAACGCTAATAGAATCGATTTACCTATATTTTATCATACCTATTTGTTCTTGATATTAAGATTTAAAATCATAGCGAATTGAATGAATTTGTTTTCTTTGCTGTGGATTAGGACATTTTTAAAATTTTAAGATTGCGCGATGTTTACAGACAAAAAAGTAAATATTTTTTTATTTAAGTTTTAGATATTGCTTCGAGAATTATTATTCTCGTAAGATGTATTAATCCATGTGTGTAAGTGTCACATGATAAAGAAAAATAATCGATTTTTATTATCTATCTTCTGATGAAACAGTGAATAAATTATGTTGACGAAGAAGCAACTCGTTGAGGATATGCTTCATATTGTAACAATATTCTTTTGATGTTATCTAACGTTTCAATGACGGTTATAACTAATCCTTGAAATATTGTCTGGTAACACTTAATAACGGCAATCATAATGCGAATAATGCGAAATAAAATATTCAATGAGTAACTACGTAATTGCTACAACGACTGAGAAAATCAATAATGGGTCGTAAATTCAACAGATATATAGACGTGGGGCTGGCATGTTTTACCACTTATCTGACTATTATGGCGGTGTCGATCTCTTCGGTTATATTTGAATAAAAAAATTTCTATCGGATAGAAGCCTACACTGCGCAAATGCTGTATGTAAAGGGTATTAAATACATAAAAGCTTATATATATATATATATATAATCCTTTTCCACAACTAGCTTCGTTTTACGATCGCGAGTTATTCTCACGAACATATCGCACCACATGCACTTTGAATTTCATTTTTTGCGTATTTCCATATAATACACATGTTTTTAGTTATTCAATTTGCATTGTACAGTACTTAGTACTTACCTACGTGGTTACCACCATACGATTTCTAGAATACTTTGTTGATCAAATCAAATTATTTACAAACAAATATTTATTCTTTTTGTATTGTAGTCGTTGTATAAAAATTATTTGTAAAAAATGCAAAATATTTGTCGAATATGCAAATTTGTTTGCTATATACAGCAAACAAATTTGACAATTAAATTTTGTAATCCTTTTGCTTTCATACACTGAGAAAAAATTGCTGTTGATTCAATTAAAGTCTATATTACGAGCTGTTACTAACATAAGTAATTAATTCATGTATATTTTCATTGACATAAAGGCCTTGATTATTGAAATAATAATTTATGCCTTTATATCAATAAAAATATACATGAATTAATCACTTATATTAGTGACAGCCCGTAATATAGACTTTAATTGAATCAACAGCATTTTTTTCTCAGTGTAACAAAATCATTTTTCTCCATGATGGAATTACTTATTAAATTAAAAAAACAAATTCTTATGGAACTTGGAGCAGTAATCGGTATACAGTTTGAATCTTCTCTTATTCTTTGGCGCTTCCGTGTCTGTGCATTTCATTCATTCATAAAGCCAACACTATAACCTCACGGAATAGGCCCAAAGTTAGGTTGCAACGCCAACCGATTGTTGCTCGCCTGCCGTATCGGCAATCACAAACGATGCAAACGTAGGCGTGAAACAATGATGCTATCGCTGTCCATTATACAATACAACACTTTGAAACACGGATATTACGCTACAATTTTTAAGAAACATATCGTCATAAACTATAAAATAATGCAGCGATGTGTCGACTGAAAATTTATATATTAATTAGATCTATATATCGAAATAGCTCGTGTATACAACCTTATTGAATATCAGAAATGATTCAACAATACGCGATTTAAAAAACGAGATAGCAGACGAAATTTATTTAAATTTGTATATATGACGTATTTGTCTTCATTGATGTGATCTCCTTTCAAGTAAGATCTCTGTATCTAACACTCTTTTAAGAGGTATTTTTGAGAAACTCTTAGAATTTTTCAATTGATATAGCAATAGATGTCGGTTGAAACTTTCTCCAATATAATAAATATGTATATCAGAAACAACAGAAATGATACTATGCGTTCCATGTATCGTATATAATCAATATTATATAATTTCTAGCTTCCCTATTTTCAAGAATTTTTATATTTAAGAAAAACTTAATATCGATTCTTTCAAACTTTTTGTTGATATTTTCGACACGGTGTATAAAAAGACATATCTACCATAAATTATTCTAAATAATTATCATAAAAATAGTTGCTTAAAATAATTATTGTAATATTAGGTGTTGAACTTAATTCCTGCCGGTTTTCGTCTCCAAAATTGATTTGTTTCGAAGGGAAGATGAATGAATACCTTAATCAAAGTAATTTCCTCCATTTTTTACTTTATTACTAATTAAAAATACTTTATTAATAATACTTTGATTAAGGTATTTCCCTTCAAAACAAATCAATTTTGGAGACGAAAAACGGCAGGAATTAAATTCAACACCTAATATAATCATTGAGGACGTCAATAATATTATATATTGAAACAAAATGTATATGAAATGTAAAAAATAAGAGTGTCTATTTGCGAGTTTTTTTCCTGTGCTCAAGTTAGAATAGGGAAGAGGAGTTCTATTTTTTATCTTGATTATCAAATTTTTTTATACAAATACATAAATTATTTTATACAAATACATAAATTATTTTATACAAATATGTACATAAATATTGTGTTAAATTGCCGTACACACATCACATACATTTCTCATCATTACATATGTCACAACACACACGTATATATTTTGCCTTCAATTTTTCTCTAAAAAGAATTGTTTTTCGCAGCTTGCAAATATAGAACTTCTGAATCCTTTATCAGAAATATTTCCGCTTTAGATTATTTCAATCGGCTTTTGCTTGCTTCAATAACATTCGAGACACGAATATCAATGATCATCAGCGTTGCATTTCTGATCTGAAAACAGTATAGCAAAAAATAACGTTTGTCGTCATTGAAGTCGTCTGACAGTGCGGTTTGTGTCGCATAAGTGCAATATAATCTACGCGGCAGATCGTTTCTGTCGGTTGGACGAATTCAATCGTAAAACCTCAACGTTCCGTTCAAAGCCGCGTACCACCTCCATCCGGTCAACCACTACATCGTCGCGCGAGAGCCATCCCTTCCCTTCCCAACCTTTCGTTTCCCGCGCGTCGCACACCTCTGATACGACTCTCGTGTCCGCTATTCTCACCGTGACGTATTCCCACCCTATGTCGCCCGTGGCCAGCACGTATTTCGCATCGTGTCGTCGTTGCCATTAGATCGGTGGGTTAGACAGAGAGAATTTTTTGCGCATGCGCAACAGTGTTAAATGACGTACGCGTAATACCTAAGTGCATTTGTAAGTAGCGTACATGTTCTACAGAGACACGTGGTGTCATTTATACATATGTTGGGGAAATAGAAAGTATCAGGGAGATGATACGCGCAGGAGATACCCAGTGAGAAATGACAATGAAATCGACGTCGATTCGACATCGATTTGATGATTTCGACGTCGAATCGACATCGATTCGGTGTCGATTCTATATTATCATTTCTCACTGGGTAATGATCAAATAATGTAATTCGCCCATAATGTAATTTGCCGTTCCGTAGGAATGACTAATCTTGACAGTTATTTGGGTCTATTATTAGCAAACCCACGGACTCGAGCTCGTTACATTGCGGACACTTATGTACATTTAAACGTCATATTCAACTGTACACATTTTCGTAAGCGATAATGCAATTTAAGAAAAATAGAAGCAAGATATAACCTAACTGCATATAATAATGAAAAGAAAATGAAAAGAGTATCTAGCCGTACATATACATATATGTTTATATATAAATAGAATGAATATCAAAAACTAAAATTTATTTTTTTAATTTATATTACTTAATCTTAAAACTTTACTTGTGTTAGATCGTTATAATAACATTTATTAATCGTTTTAAATCTACGTAATAAATTTTACGAATGTTTAGACGGATTTAAACTAAAATGTAATTTTTTATTTTTTATAGATAAAGCTTTTTCTAGACTTCTAATAATATTCATTTAAAGAAATTTTATTTAAAGATCTTATAAAACTGCAAAGAGAGGAAAGGTAATATCACTTTTATGTGTTAATAAAATAATCAATTAATTTTATTTATAACATATCAATGTATATTCATGTATTTATAATTTTTAATATACTTTTTATATTATACTAAAAGAAAATTATCGAAACATGTATACGGGGCTCCAATAGCGCCCTACATTCTATTTGAGTACGAGACTGTCGAGCCAGTCACGTGGTCTCCTCTGCACTTGCGATGGAGATGGTTCAGTGGTGGGAAAAATCCCTCCGTTCACTACCCCTGGTTACTAGCGGGCTTAGTAAGTTACGGACTGTATGCAAGTGCGCATCAATTGTATTGACAGCTGTCTCTCGGTTGATCCCGACGGTGTGTCTCGTTTCGCTTTGCTATTTTTTTCTTCGCCACCGCATTGCAATCTCACGTTAGTATCGTTGGAGTTTCATCTCGCGCAGCGATTTCACGGGAAATCACGGAACTAGTTCGGAGTTTGCGAATTTGTCAATTGATGAAGATTTGTTGATAACGTCGACAACAACGTCGACCACGGGTAGAGAGGAAAGATACGCGCATTTGAAGGACGATCCAAGAGCGATAGTCCAGTATGATATGCACTGCAGAGGAGAAACGAAACCTTGGACGAAGTGCGCGTGTGCGACACGAGTGCCCGCGGTTTTGCCGCCTGCTTTAATTGTTGCGCTATTACTTATCTTTTGCCGGCTTGCACCTTCGTGCTTATAGATCATATCTGCATGGTACAAAAAAATAAAAAGATTATTTGAAGGACAGCATAATATTCAGAGATATATATATATAATATGTGTGCGTGTATATATAGATATATGCACGTATCTTTCTTGTAAGAGAATAAAGCAGAGAAAAAAGGTGCGCAAGGAGGTACGAGAATACGAGAAAGCGTACGAGAAAGGTGAAAAAGAGGAAAGAATTGTCCATTTCCGGAGGTGGAGACTTCCTGCCGCGCTTTTCCCTTCCTTCTCTTAATTTCCTCCTGCTCCCGTTGCTCGTATTGCGTATACGATTGTGAAGTGCCCTCGCAACGTGAGTGCATCGCAAAGACCACATAACGAAGTTAAGCGGCGCCACGATAAAACGTTTACTCGATGTATGTATGATTTACCCAGGGTGCTGCGGATAAATTACGCGAGGAGAATTCCGCATGCGAGATACAAAAACGGAATAAAGGGATTCTTCTCGATCAAGTGCGCCGCGCCAAGCCGCACCGGCGGATCTCGCGTGATTACTAGATACAGTGTTGCTCGCGTGTGACGAGAGCCAGTGGACCCTCACGCGAGCACCGTCAATTTATCCAAAGCCTTCATTATACGGAACAGCAAGTGAGGGCCAGCGAAAGGGAGAAAGAAAGACAGATGACAGGGTGAGTTCCTTCCATCGTAAAGAATTTGTTTTTGCCTGTCTGGTTGTAATTGAATATAAATGCTGCGCACGCGCTAATTTTCGGTAAAGCATAAACAACTCCTATTACCAAAGGAGAAAAGCCATTAGCAACGCATAGTAATGAAAGAAGTAAAAAAAAAAAGAAAAACGTTTTTATTAATAATTAAATTGGCACAGTTATTTTGAAAAAAACTTATACGTATCAAAATAAGTTACTCTACTTTTGCGCGCGCAGCTTCGTCTGGAGTGTTACCGGTATTAACTTTCAATTACTTTCAATTACTCATGGAATAATTTATAATGAAGAAATTCATTATAAATTCATTGTATATACAATGTATTTTGATATGGTCCTTGTGTGGCAATATATCATGATGCCTAGTTTAAGTGCAATGATATTATCGTAAATAAGATTATTGAATAGAATAATTAGACATAATACTATTACTGAAAAAATTACATATACATTACACACACACACTATAAAATAAAAAACATCCTTTTTTTAAATTATATTTTTTCCTCTACAGAATTTTCAGAATTGTATTTGTAACAACGAAAAAAAATGAGAAGTATTCTATTGTTACTTTTATACAGCTATCTTTTAATGACTGTACAATAGCGAGTATTAGCATATTCACAAAAAAATATACGAAAGTCGTAGGCACATTTCAATTTGAATCAAGCTTTAATCTCGAGAAATCTCGCGCGTAGATTTTACGCAGTCGGTGTCACGCAATGTTGTCAAATTCAGTGATGCGAAGTTTCAATTTCTTATAGACAAGGAAACTTGCACTTTCTTGCGAACTTTATACAATTTTGTTTCATTTCACTTTGGACCTACAGTAGTTTATAAAGTTATATCTCAGTCTTGTCACTTTAATTACCGGTTTTGCGCAATTTTTTATTCAGCCATTGATATTCTTATAAGAAAACTGTAATCTTGCGCCAGAACAACGAAATTCGGATGTCGAACGCAAGAAAAATATTATCCTAAAAATGTATACGCAATTTGCGTTGCAGTATTTGATAGAATTTTCCTTCTTTTGCAACATTTTACGAATATATGCGATTATCTTGGAAATTTGTGGTTTTAGTTTTTGCATAAAGAGAGATTTATATTAGATTATATTAAAAATATATTATGCCCAATATATATTTCTTCCAGATAAGTTGCGGATAACCTTATCCAGGAGATATCTCCATTGTATTCTGGGAGATATCTCTTGGATAAAATTATCTAGAGGTGAAGAAATTGGGCATTAGAGATATTTCTAACAGCCTCATATAATTAACAAAATATTATTTTGTCAATATGTTAAATTATGAAATTTACTTATTGTATTATATTCTATAATTAATGAACTGGTATTAATGCAAATTAATATACGTATCATATCGATAATGAATCCTCAGAGTTAGAAGTTACTTTATAAAAATAACTAGGTACAGTTACAGTTTTCTTGTTTCAAAAAGTAACTAGTTACCGTTACAAGTTGCCAATTTTAAAAAGTAACAAGTTACAGTTACAGTTGCTCAGAGAGTAGCTTTTTAGTTACTTTTCCGTTATCATTGTAAAACAACTAACGTAAGTAACATTTTGATATTGCTAGGATCAACAAAAAAAAAGATTGATTTACGATTTTACATGTTATACTATTTTATTTAAAAGATAAAAAGTGTTAAACCAGAAACACAGAAAAACGTAAGGCAGTAAGATATAAGCAGTAAACGAATCTGTCAATCACAGTAGAAAATATAAGACAATAATTTTACGTTCTCTATTGTGATTGACCGCTTTGCTTACTTACTACCTTACGACGTTCATGCAGATAATAATATTGACAATAAAGAGAATTAAATTGTAAGAACGCTATTATTAACGTGATATTTGGTACAGATAATTCGCTTACGAGAGATAAGTTAACAATAAACAAAATTAAATTACTGTTTGTCTTCTGAATGTAGCCTTTATCTTTTAACAACCAGTAGCGGCAGTAGCGCACCTATTCAGATTTTAACCAATCATATTAAATTGACAAAAAATAAGTTTCAAATGTGTAAAGTAATTGTAAAAGTAATTTAAATTATTACTAGTTACTAAAAGAAATGTAACTAACAATATTGTACATACAAATTTAGTTACAGTTACAGCTAGAGAAAAAGAAACGAAGTTAAGTTAGAATGTTACTGAAAAAGAAAAAATATCTTTAAGGGGATCCTAAAGCAAAGCTCGAATTCCGAAAAATCACTAGATGTCGCGCCGCGCGCCGCACATTGACATGTCTTTTTATACTACCACAGCAATATCTCACGCAGCCTATGATACACGCAGTCACACATACGTGTCAATTTTCGTACAACGAATTCGTCGCGATAAAGCGTCTAAATCTAATTCTAAGAACTTGACGTTGTATGTTCGTGCAAATTACGTGTTTGGGAACTATTATTTCGTACGTTCGGGTTGCAAAGCTTTCATATCAAACAAATGTTGTCACGACTTGACAGCTGAGACGCCATGTTACACTAAGAAATGGTAAAAAAATATATTGATTTCGAAATTTTTGATCATTCTCAGCGTAGACTCTACTTCACAAACATTAATGCATATACTTTAATCCTGGAAAATGATTTTCCAATCCGTGAAAGAGAAAAAGAGTATTCGTTATACAAAAATTATACGTGTTTAAGGCGGTAATACAGATCTTTAGGATCCCCTTAAGGTCCAATGAATGAATCTCTTGATAACCTTTAATCTTTAGGTAGCCATATACAATATTATGAAAACGGACCTAATTGTAACTTAGTCGCAAGTAACTAGTTACTTTTTAACTCTGCTAATAACTACACTTATAACTACGTTATAAAACATTTTTATTGAATTATATGCATATTTACTTTATGCTGTTCTGCAAGATGCAAATATACAGGGTGGACCATCTGAAATGATCCAGTCAAATATCTCGAAAACTAGTAGGGATAGAGAAAAATGTTTCGTATGAAAAGTTTAGGGTTACACGGGGGAAGTATGGTACTGACCTTGAAAAATCCTTGGAAGGTCATTTTGAAGGTCATTCAGGGGTCACGATGGTTTTTTTAAATGGAACCCCTAGTTTTTCACCATGGGATGAGAAAGCTGGTTTCAAGCCCTTTACGAAACACTGGTTGTGGTCCACAATCCGCCCACTGGGGTCCGAGTTATGGACCATCAAAGTCATTGATGAACTACTCTTAGCGCTACCCAGGAACAACGACGTGGACGTGGTAGTTCTCTGTTCCCTTCGAGGTGCTTGATTTTTGTGAGTCCCCTTGCCTCTCACATGTGGGGTGCTTGATTTTTGCGACTCTTCAACAGTTTTCGAGAGTCGATACTGATTCATAACTCTGATTGAATCAAATGGAATAATCCAAGAGATTTCCAATAGTAAATCGTTAACCGAACACATGACTGCCACCCATGATAAACAGAGACTCGGTGTTCTCGTTTGTTTATGTTTATGTTTTTCTTTTCAATGGAGTTAATTTCGAACAATTATTGTAACGGCGTTCAGCACCCCACATGTGAGAGGCAAGGGGACTCACAAAAATCAAGCACCTCGAAGGAAACAGAGAACTACCACGTCCACGTCGTTGTTCCTGGGTAGCGCTAAGAGTAGTTCATCAATGACTTTGATGGTCCATAACTCGGACCCCAGTGGGCGGATTGTGGACCACAACCAGTGTTTCGTAAAGGGCTTGAAACCAGCTTTCTCATCCCATGGTGAAAAACTAGGGGTTCCATTTAAAAAAACCATCGTGACCCCTGAATGACCTTCAAAATGACCTTCCAAGGATTTTTCAAGGTCAGTACCATACTTCCCCCGTGTAACCCTAAACTTTTCCACTGAAACATTTTTCTCTATCCCTACTAGTTTTCGAGATATTTGACTCGATCACTTCAGATGGTCCACCCTGTATAACGCCATAGTTTTTCTAGAGTTGTTCCATATATGCACGATTGCTTTCAGCTCCAATAGACTTATTTGACACTATAAAGCAACATTATAAAGATTAAGTTAGCTCATGGTCTGTTTTACGGACAGGTGTGGCGGTTTACGCTGCACCCCTCTTTTAAACTAAAAATCGTATTATGAAAAGACTAAGAGAAAAAATAATATAAATAAAACTTATTTCGGAAACTACAAGTATTTAAAATGACGTAATATTATCAATAATATAGTCACTATTATTTAAACCTCACAATTTGCAAAAGAAAATCGTAAGAATTTTATTTTCGCATTCATAGAATTCGTTTTTAGCTGATTTGATATAGAAACAAGCCACAAACCTACGAATTATGAGTTTGTACTTCTTTAATTAGCTAAACAGATCGTGATTTTATTAGTATTAATAAAGTGCAATAGTTAGTTTCCGAAAAATAAGGGGATGTCACTTTAGGAGACCTATGTCAGTATCGGCGACTTTCCTCTATAAATAAGGATGATTAATTATTAATAATAGTATTAATAATAAAAATAATAGTAACAGTAAATTTATTGAATAAAAAACTTAGAAAAAATAAGAACAGTAAATACACAGATCAACAGGTTAAAGTATGACGGTGACGGCACATTAGAATAAAGTTAAAAAGAAATCTGAGTTAGATTAGGTGAGGTCTCCCGCGCGATACAATCACTCGCGAAAGTATTTAAGCAAGTGTTAAATAGATAAATATATATTTTTAATATAATTTTAATGGTTTTATATTATCCGAAACATTACATTTAAGTTAAATATGAATTAAATATGTAACTTTAATGCTTTTTGCATCAGCATATACTTTATTAAACAGCAGAATAGTATAAAATAATTACATAAGAAAGTTCAGTAGAGCGATGATAACACAAATGAGAATAATGTACACAAGAAACTGCGAAAGTGTGTGTGTGTGTGTTGTGAAAGTATAATTTTTTGTTCTCGTAGTTTATCTGAAAGTACGAC